TCTTGTCGGGTCTTAAACGTCTATCCCCGTTGTGCTACCTGTATGTTCCTGCCCTGTATTCCTTGTTCCTGTGGATTATTAAAGACTGTTTGTGTTCATCCCGTGACTCCTCGTTCCTCGCTGTAGTGCAACCGTGACACTAACTGACCTAGCTTGCTAAATAACACACAAAACTAGCACTACACAACAATAAAAAAACAAATTTTACAGAACCTTCATATTGGTTTTTGATTATTCATAGATTACATTTAATAGGTTACACTTTCAAGAAAACATGTGCAATTGGTTTGTAAAAGGTGTATTTTTGCATGTTTTTGTTGCATTTACACCATTTTGTCAAGCAGGTGCTTCCAGCATGTGATGTTTCAAGCACTTCAAAACAGTGAATTATTTTGAAAAGCAATTCTGATTCAGAATTTCAAAAAGCTTTGATCCTCCTATCACTACCATGTGTCACTAAACTTGACAGCAGTTCAAAACTGTCAAAACAATTAACATAGCCATAAATATTTCCATCTATATCTGACCACCATGTTTCATTCATTCATTCATTCATTCATTCATTCATTAAAAAAGTAACCTGCTCTGTGTTGTCTGTCGGCACGTTGTCAGTATCCTCTTTGCTCCGCGATGTATTTTTGTGTGAGAACATGGGCCATTTCTCAATATGCGTTCTTAAGCGATCTTGTGTCCTTGTGTTCTCGCTCTACGTCATCATTAACCATCGAAGTTCAATTCCAATACTCAAGAACGCAAGTACAGAGGACGCTTGTGAGCGCCCAGATGTGTTCTTGATATCGAGGATGCATCGAATGCAGACTTGAGAGAACTGAACCAGTCCCAGAAGACGCTGCGTGCGGACGACGTACGGAAGCCTGTAGGCTTTTAAACTTCTCACTGCAAGCCTGTAAATACGCGACGGCTCGTGAAAGTAAACATTGTATAATTTTAATAAAGTGATAAAGACCTGAAAAAAAGCCTGTCATACTTTTTTATTGGTATATTTTTTTAACATTGATCATTTTAACATTGACAAAATATAGCTAACATTAAATATACATGCCTTAAGCCCGGCTCACACTGTGCGATTTTGGCCACGATTTGGTCGTGTGAGACTACTTTTGAAAATCCTAAAAGATTCCTATAATCCTAGGCTAAAATCTGTAGTCTTTGATCATTAGATTGATATGTTCACCGACAACCGATTAATGGCCGTTGCAATCAAATTTCACCCCCGACGAACTTCTGGCAGTGTCAGAAGATTCAAAAGGGTCTGGCATGTGGGTGTGTAGTGTTGCTTGCACTATTCTTCTTAAATACGCCGGTATTGCCGCCATTCATATTTTTTCACTGCGTCTCATATGTTTTTAAAGGCAATCTGTGTGATGGGCGATTTGGACAAGGGATGGATCACGATTTTTTTCGAATATTCGATTAGTGATTTAAATATAGAATATCAAATTGGTTGTGCAATTATTGTCTAAAAAAGAAAAGATTCCCATGTTTTAGGTGCTGATGCCTTGGTTCATGTAACCAGAGGGTGGGGCTGCCAATAACCCACATAAAAGTTGTCAAAGACAACAGAAGAAGAACACATTGTCTCACGCGCACACTGTAGACTTGCGTGGCATATAACGGTAATGGTCACTTGGGACAATGTCAAATAACAGTTCTGTGTGGAGCTCTTATAATAAAATTAATGAAAATGAAGTGCAGTGCAAACTCTGCCATGCGAAGCTTGCTTATCATAGGTCAACCACTACAACGCACAGTCATTTGAGGGCGAAGCACTCAGCAGGTCCATCCACAGGTCAGCAGCAATCAGTGGCTAGTTTCATGGTCAGGACAACCAAGTTGGATGCTAAACGGGCAGAGCAAACAACGGCCCTCATCACTAAGATGATAGTTAAAGATATGCTTCCATTCAGCTTTGTAGAAGGAGAGGGTTTTAGAAAGCTTATGGAGTTTGTAGAGCCCGAGTTTACTGTCTCATCTAGAAAAACGATCACTGCCAGACTGGAGAAACTTTTTGATGACAATGTAAGGGAGCTGCGCAGACAATTAGCGAGTGTTGAAAAAATGACACTGACCACAGATTCATGGACAGCGCTTACAACTGAATCGTACATCATGGTCATCTGTCATTATATAGTTAATTGGGAAATTCACAGTGCTGTTCTGCAGACCAAAGCCATGCCAGAGCAGCATACTGCTGAAAATTTGGCAAATATGCTTTCCACTGCTATGGACCACTGGGGACTAAGCAGAAAAATCACTGCATGCGTGCATGACAATGCGAGCAACATGGTGCTTGCCAACACTGAACTGTTAGAGTGGGACTCTCAGCCTTGTTTTGCACACACACTCCAACTCGCTACAAATGACAGTTTCAAACTTCAACACATAAACCATGTCGTTGCATCTGCCTGTCATCTTGTTTCTCATTTCCATCACAGCACAACTGCAGCACAAGCGCTGAAACAAAAGCAGCAACTGCAGAACTTGCAACTGCACAAATTAGTGCAGTACTATGCAGTTCTACTGTAGGTGAAATTCTATTCATGACATGTTCGAGCGCTTACTCGAACAAAGATGGTCAATATCTGCAGTCTTATCAGACTGAGCTTTCACTAACTATCAGATGCACGAACCCTCGAACTGACTAATAGCTGGGGAGTTATGGAGGAACTCTTACCAGTGCTTCACTCACTTAAATGTGCCACCAATGCCTTGTGTGGAGAATCCGGAGTATCCATTTCCATGGTTTACCCGGTGACAGCAACTCTTCTCTCAAAACACCTCAAAGAAATCCCAGGAGAGTCTCCCAAAGTCTCTGAGTTCAAGCAAACAGTGTCTACTTCACTGGACCGGAGACTTGCGCCTGCAGATGTCAGCAGCGCTTGCAAGGTTGCACACTTTGCATCCTTCCTGGATCCTAGACACAAACACCTGAGGTTCACAACTGAGGAAGTTAGGGGCCATTCACATATCGCGTTTTTTGCGCGCTCAAGTTCGTTATTTCAAATGTAGACATTTACATGTAGGCAGGCACACTCATAATGGAAGCGACACCAGTTATTGCATTATTATTTCAGTCAAACCTATAAAACCCCTTGTGCAGGCCAAGGTGTATAATCTCATCTCGAACAGCTCAGAGAGCGAGGAAGAGATAGGCCTAACAGTAGAAACAGATGAAACACAACCGCTGGCCAAAAAGACACGAAGTGATTTGCTGTCTGCATCTGCAATCGCAGTCTTGTCTGGTGAGGACTATAACATAGAATCTCAGACACAACCAAACTAAATCAATACTGCCAGGACACGTGCCCACCCATCTACATCGACCCCATGAACGGGTGGAAAACCAACGACCACAAATACCCCCGACTGGCAAAATTAGCAAAGGCTTACTTGTGTGTGCCCATGACGTCTGTGCCATCAGAAAGGTGTTCTCTGAGTAATTGTGAACAGATTGCGCTCCCATCTTCATTCCGAGCATGTGGACATGCTCATTTTTTTTTGAGATAGGTTATTGTTATGAAGACAGACGTTCAAATTAATGTTCACATAAGTGCCGTCATTCAGGCTGTTCACTATGTTTTAATGCGTTTAGACCTAGTCATCATGGCTTGAGGTGATCTTCATGGATGAATCAATCAAACAAACTGTTTTATTTTTTTTAATTGCCGAACGTTCATGCTCATTTTTATGGAAATGTCCTAGGCTTATGAGCAGTTGATTTATGCTAATTGATGGACTGTTGTGTTAATAAGTGCCGTCATTCGGTTATGTTTATTATATTAATGTTTCAGCACGTTACAATCATTATATGGCTTGAGTGAAGAGAGCCTATTTTCTAATGAATTAAACAGGTTGTTATCATACAGAAAGCATGAATGGTCTCTCTCTCTGTGATTATGGGTGTTTAGCCTATCCATGCGTGCGGGGAAGAGGTGCGATTTTCGAATAATAATCAAATAATACCCGATCATCGAATATTATTATTTTTGCTTGAAATGCAGAATTGGACTACTTTAACACTATTGCTGTCGGTTGTTTTTCTTGTCCGTGGGTTTAAGCGACCACAACCGTGATATGGAATGCGAATTTTACCAAGGGAACCCCGCCAAATGTGTATTTTACCCCCCAAGCGCAATTTTTACCGGGGACCCCTTCGATTAAACCTACTGTCGGAGTGTTTAATACGGTTGACGGGCAGCATTTGAGCAGGAGTGAGCAGCTTTTATTGTTCTGGTTCTGTCAGCCCACCGCTAAACGAGCCCTGCTGAGTTCTGTGTGAATCCTGCTAGAAGCGTGACGGAAATTAATCGTGATAACTAATACTGCGCGCGAGGAAGATTTCGGCGGGAACGTTTATTGAGAGCTTTCGTAAGCCTGACGAAAAACATTCATACAGCACGGTCAATGCATGTGATCGGGTCAAATTTGTCTCTTTACCAAGCTAAAATATTTTTAGTAACAAAATAAAGACATATTATTTATGCTACATAGACCAAGATTTAAGTGTCAAATGTAGCCACAGGTGAAATCGAGTCTGTTCGCTTCTGGCATTTCGTATTTATCACTTATCATGTACATGTAGGCTATTTGTAATCGTTCAGATGAAAGATGAATGAGCTAAGTAGGAGCCACGAAAAAATAGGAACTGGGTGTAGTGTGTGGTTTAAGCCTTCATGTGATTGATGAGCTCTCACATCTTAATGTCCAAGTCTGTGGCTCACTCCATATTTCACACTCTCTGATATGGCAGGTAATACCCGAAAACCCGGTCTCGTTATGGCACAAAGCTCGATGTCCTGGATCAGGTCGGAAAGACGCTGGTGGAAATCGATGTAGTCCACGACAACTACAACATACCTCTAAAGCAATCCTGTCCCCTAGTGGTCATATAATTACCTCCAAGTATGCCTCATTTTCATTGTCACGAATGCAAAACATGATTTACAAACACGCATTTTTGTTTTATAAGCTTTGTAATATTTTATCTGAATTTCAGAACATCGAATTACAGCATAAAAGCATAGCTAGTAAAGAAAGAGCATTTTACAAATTAAAAAAAAAAATTCTACAGGTAACAACATATAGCCTACTGAGGAAAAACATTTTGCACCTTTAAGAAACTGCAATCTCTTGTTTCAGACTACCAATAAAACTCTTTATACAGTGGTTAACAAGTAGCCTAACTAATTCAACCCAAATCAAAAACGTCACATACAGGCAATTCAGGCTTCCCTTTCAATCACAATAATGACAATACATTTCATATGGGATGTTACATCTTTCAAACGAAGTGATGGCACTACAAAGGCTGATAATGGACATTATCTTAAATGGACAGTTCACCCAAAAATGTAAGTTCTGTCATTTACCCTCTTGTTGTTCCAAACCGAAATGTCTTTTTAACACAAAATGAATGAGATCACAGCCTCAGTCACCTTTCGCTTTCATTGCTCTTGTTTATTTATAAGTTTGAAATCTTTGGTGTGATTTCCTGTGTTGAATGGAAAGAGACCTGATAATAAACACATATAATTTCAGTGGCTAACTGGTTCAACACCTTTTCCACATACACATACATAACAGTAGACAATGTTTTTTTTTTTTTATGAAAAATAATTTAGCTGTAGATAATTTTTTTTTATGTTGAAACATGTATACTCTCAAATATCTAATGGTGAAACTATAGTCACTGATGTGCGAGCAGCAGTGAAACCCAGAATGACAATTAAATAATGGCATGTCCCATTAAATCAAGAGGAATAAATAACAGAAAAGGAAAGTCTGAGTGTCATTTACACCTGCAGATGGTTGGAGGAAGAAAAGAGTCCCCCAAATTACCATTTGTATTGTGCTGTACTTCTGCACTGGTGGTACGGAACTTCAAGATCATCCTCTGATGTACTTCTAGCTTGTGCTGTCCATTTTTTATCCAGTTTGGTGTGTATTAAAAAACGTGCGTCACTTTGTGCTGTAACATTTGACTAAATGCAACCACGCAGGACAAAACGACAAACAAAGACATTCACTCGCTTAACAAAATACTTGTTTAAAGGCCACTAGCGCTCTCCTTTCCCGAAATAAATTACGTTCATAATTTCACATTCATTCGCTGGTTGTGTTGTTTGTTCACATAAAGGCTCACTTTTGGCTAAGAGATTTTCTCAAGAGTTCAAGATCCATCCGTGTGGGAGGATCTTTTTGTGGTGGACAAGAGTATTCTTTTAGGGACAGGGGAATGAACCTTTCCTGTAATCCCAGCACCTTGGTATCTTGGCAGGCCAACAGAGCAGACCATGGCTGTGGTGAAGAACCTCCCTGGCCGAGGAACCCAAAGAAAGCAATGACGTCTATAAAAAGACATAGGAATCAGCAAACACAGAGTGAACCTCAACAAGGAAAAACAGATCTTGACAGTAGTTTTTGATGTTATAGAAATACGTTACCTTTCTTCTGAAGATCTGGCGTTTTAGCAGATCCCAAAGGGACCAGATATTGTGCAGCACCAGCAATGCCAGCAGGCTGACCTCTTGTGGCAAGAAGAACTATCGATCTACACAGAACCAAACTGATTTAGTCTAAACAGTGAAATACGGAAATTGCTTACCTTAAAAATAAAAGGTCTATTAAAATAGCAAAAATACACTACTGTTCAAAAGTTTGGGGTTGATGAAGTATTTACATTTTTTTTAAAGAAGCCTCTTATGCTCACCAGGGCTGCATTTATTTGTTCAAAATACAGTAATATTGTGAAATATTATTACATTTTAAAACAACAGTTTTCTATTTGGATACATTTAAAAATGTAATTTATTCCTGTTATGGCAGAACTGAATTTTCAGCAGCCATTACTCCAGTCTTCAGTGTCACATGATCCTTCAGAAATCATTCATATATGCTGATTTGGTGAGCAAAATATATTTCCTATTACTATCAACACTGTGCAAAAGAACAGCATTAATTTGAAACAGAAATCTTTTGTAAAAAATTATAAATGTCTTTACTGTCACTTTAGATCAATTTAATGAACCCATGCTGAAAAAAGTATACATTTCTTAAAAAAGACTTATGAACAGTAGTGTATATACTAAAAATCTTCAGTACATCAAATCAGCACTGCACAAATCCTTACACTCATCACCAGCTCCCTCAATACACACTGTATGCCACTTTTCAACCTCTTCACCCAGACAACTACTGCAGTGCATCAGTACTTCTCCCAACCTCCAGATATTCAGTTTTAAACCCCAAACAGCAGCTTTCACCCCTCACCTATTTATAATTCCAGTTTTAAAATACTGTTCCATTTTAGTGTCCAGCGTCATAAACAATGAGTTCTTTGTGACTTTTCCGGAGCATGCGTCCACAGTTACTATGAGGAACCCTGACTGGGTGAGTTCAAACCTCTCTGCATTCACCTATAGTACAGGAAAAAGAGAAAACAAAACGATTTTTTAATGTTAACAATAAGTTCTTCATGCACCACAAAAGAATATGCAAGTTAAATGAAGCTAAACACATCTTCTAATTTCCTGTCCTCTACACACCTCTCCCCACTGTCACCATCACAAAATGCACAAAATCACCCCATATTAAGATAGACAGACAGACAGACAGACAGACAGACAGACAGACAGACAGACAGATAGATAGATAGATAGATAGATAGATAGATAGATCTCACCATCATCCAGTCCATCTGGAATGACATGAAGAAACAGAAAAAAACTGAGATACACTAAATCCAGAAGAACTGTGGCAAGTCTCCAAGATGCTTCAAGAAACCTACCTGCAAAGCTACAGTACTGTGAAAAATTATAGGCACCTGTGTAAAAATGCTGTAAAGTGAGGATGCTTTCAAAAATAATGTCATAAATAGATTTTATTTTTCAGTTAACATCTATTAACTAAATCAAATCAATATTTGGTGTGACCACCCTTTGCATTTAAAACAGCTTTTGTCCTTGGTACACTTGCGCATAGTTTATTTTCAGGTAGCTTTGCAGATAGGGTTCTTCAAGCATCTTGGAGACATTGCCACATTTCTTCTGGATTTAGCAGGTCTCCATTTTTTCTGTTTCTTCATGTAATTCCAGACGGACTGGATGATGGTGCGATCAGATCTCTGTGTGGAGCACTGGCTCAAATCTCACTGGAGTTTTACAATTAATGGCAAAAGGAATGTTTGGAAATGTAAATTGATATTTCCTACTGACACACTACAGCAAAAGATAGAAATAACGGACTTAAAACCATTTTTGGTGGTGAAAATACTAATGGCTAAGACTTGGTGTGGTGATGATGCATATACACGTGGTGTGGTGTGTGTGTATGTATATATATATATATATATATATATACACATGGACACAAATTAATTTTAGTTTTTAAACACAAACAGTTGAAAAGGTTTTAAACTCGCTATCATTAAACATGAAAATAATAAAATATAGTACTAGCCATATCACTAAACATCCCTGAAAATGTGTTTTACTAAAAGTGATTTTAACTTTACTTGATTTAAAATCAAATTATATTATTTAACATACTTACTATGGCAGCCTTAAAATACTAAAACTACAATAAAAAATAAACTTAAAAAATGGAAATAAAGCTAGACATGTATTCTTACATTTTACTTAATAAACCAGTGAACACAAGCATAATTCTCCCAAGATGAAATTAATGTTTGGAATAATCACTCACAGTGATATAGGCTTGAGTGTCATTACTCTGTTCTTCTTTTACACTGAGGGATTTGATCTGAGTTTGGAGGTAGCTGTTCCATGGATCACTGGAGAAGGCAAACTACAGGGAGGAAAAGAAAAGTCACTCAAGGTTGACAGTTTAATGGCTCCCTGTTACAATTACCCAGAAAACGCAAGGTAAGGCTCTTGGACATGACGGCAGATGGACAGTCTGTCTATCTGGCACACAGTTCAAAGCCTGTCCCGCTCAAACAGAAATATACAAATGATCCTGTCCATTCATGTGGAGCTTGGACCGTCCTTACCCGTGAGGCCCCACAGGCTCTGCAGGGCTCTGTGTTCGGCTTTGGCATAGGCACTATGTTGCTGGCAGGCTTTCTGTATTTGGGGTAGGCATTGGCGATGCAGTTGCAGGTCTGAGTCTTTTGGTTGGCATGTATGGTGGCGATGATCTTCACTCTCTCACAGCCAGCGATGGAGCAGTAGCTATAGCCGTCTCGTCTGTGCCGAGCTCGTGCGTACAGCCATAACAAACTGGCGGTTAAACACAGGCTTGCTGTTTCAGACTGATCAGGCTTCACTGTAAACAATAATTTATCTGGATTTGACAATATAATTTAAAGCGAAGTAGGACAACACAAGTAAAACCCAGAGGCAATGTGAGAAAATGAGCAAACAAAATGATATACATCAAAATTAAAGGTGATATGTAAGAATTAATTTGTAGAGACTAAGCCACTCATGGGTCAATTCCACCGAAAAGTGTAAACAATGTGGCTCTGTGTCACTATCAAAACACGGCTCTGTTTGTATGAGCATCAGGATGAGCCTGACAAACCAACATGGTCTCAGTCAACGGCGTGATAATTAGAAATGTTTCTTGAGCACCAAATCAGCATTTTAAAATGATTTATGAAGGCATGTGACACCGATCACCTTTTCCATCATCTAATGATTAATAATTAACATTTAAATCTTTAGCAGATCTGAAAACAAATATCCATTTTTCATATAATAATGTAATGCCTAAATTCCCTTGGAGCATTTATAACAACAGATTTTAGTTTTTAGTGTTTTTTTTTTCTTTTTTAGAATTTTTATATTCTGTTTAAAGGGGTATTAATACTATTTTATTATTTTTATTGTAGGATATTATTAACTATATTAAAATCCTTAAAAAATGCATAACTTCACAAGACCAAATTTGATTCCTACAGCTTTTTGTGAAATCATTGTGTTGATAAAGGCCTGTTAACATTTCAAATACATTTTTTCCTACCCAACAGATTTGTCAAAAAAGTACTTCCTTTCCTGCTGTCGCTTCTCTAGGTCTGAAATGGATGACACAGGGCTGTAGTCTTCTATGCCATCAAAGCCGTTGCTCTGCTTGTTGTAGATGTCTGATGTGATCTGGAAGACTGTTTCATTGGGGTAGCAGAAGCCGAGTAAAGCCCAATCACCCCTACAAGAGCAACACAGTCAAAAAGCACATCAGATTGTCTCTGGCATGAGCACATAGCCGCGAGAACATATTTTGAGCAGGGGGGCTGAGAATTAAACCCCGGGGGGGGGTATTGCTGATGTTGTGTGTGGGATTTTTTTTTTCATTAAGAGTAATACTGAATCAACCTTAAGCATTAATTTTGTTCCAAGAATATGAAAGATCTAACGTTAAATATCAAAATAAGCACTGTAGAAGCAAGAATGCGAGATTGTTATTATTATTGGTTGCTGCTGAGGTAATAGACGCTCTCTGTCTTTCTCGGTTGTATCTTCGCAATGGCTGTAGAAATGGTCGTTAATTCTTGATTTGGGTCCAGCACAGACATGTTACAGGTAATAATATGATCAAAAAGTCATGGCAACAAACGACTTCCTAAGTCAGTTTAAGTTGAAACGACTTTCACAATCAATTTGATTAAACTTAATTCATGTTTTACTGTTGCTTATTTTCACTGTAGGCTTAGGCTATTTTTTTCTATGAATTTTAATGAAATTACAAATTAATCAAATTAGTTTTATTTATTTTTTGTTACAAAATTTTCATTTATTTATTTTTAACACCACAGCCCCAGCCGCCCCATTTTTTCTTGGGCTACACGCCAGGGGGTGCTGCAGCACCCTCAGCACCCCTACTTCCCGCGGTAATGCACGAGCAACACGTATGTTAATTACTAAGGCAAAATTTCATGGTTATATAGTTTAGTAACTAATGTTCTGTTTCAGATATGGGGGATCACATTCTTCCTTTTTTACTTACTGGTCAAAATTAATAAGTGACAGGACTGTTTCTCTGGGTGTAGGTCCATTCCAGTGCACCGTGTAGCTCTTGCCCATCATCAGTACAGGCTGGTACTGCTGAGAAGGAGCTGTCTGGCTTCTGATACCTCTGAGAACCATGGGCTTATCAGGGTATTCATCTCTACTGATAGATAGGCTCAGATTAGATGCACCCTGTGTCTGTATATACACCTATGTAGAACATAAGTAACATTGTTTAAAAAGCAGAAACAGTTAAGAGAATATACATTACTGTTCAAAAGTTTGAGGTCAGTGAGATTTGGATTAACAAAATTAAAAAATGAAATAAATTCAGCAAGGAAGCATTAAATTGTTAAAAAGCAGCAGTTAAGACTTACATTGGAACAAAAAACAATTTTAAATAATGCTGTTCTTTTGAGCTTTCTATTCATCAAAGAATCCTAAAGAAAATGTATCAAGGTTTCCACAAAATTATGAAGCAGCACACCTGTTTTCATCAGCAATAATAATAAATATGAGCAGCAAATTAGCATATTAGATTAATTTCTGAAGGATCATGTGACACTGAAGACTGGAGTAATGGCTGCTGAAAATTCAGCTTTGCCTATAAATTACATTTTAAAACATTAAAACAGAAAACTGTTATTTTAAATTGTAAAAATATTTCACAATAATATTTTTACTGTATTTTTCATTAAATAAATGCACCTTGGTGAGTATAAGACTTTTTTCAAAAGCATTAAAAATGTGTTACCGACCACAGCCTTTGAACAGTGGTGTACTTGCATATCAACATAACATGAAAATGCAAAAGGAGAATGAGACACCTATTTCTTTACCTGAAAGTACTTGCCGCTGCACACAACCCCATTCCAATGAGGAACATCCACACATTGAGGGTGGCGGATCAGGAAGTTGTCGGCCCTTGCCACATACGTATCTGTGTAATTGCTGATTGAACCATCCAGGTCATGAAAGATGGAATTTTTATCGCCGTCCAGATCATTCTGCTCAAACCACTCGCCTGGTCGGCCAAAAAATGCTCTTAGAGTTACCTGGATGATTAAAAGAGGATCACTGGTCATGAGAAATGTAAACGAAAACAACCGGACAGAAGAAGAATCAATGTGGTACCATTTCGACAACAAGTGAGGCAAAATATGACCACATTTAAAGACCTTTCCAAGGGCTCTTTTTAACATATGCTAAATATCAGCTGCCAGAACAGGGGCTTATTTTTTAATTACTAAGCACCAGAGCAGATGGTGACCAATCAAGAGAGAACAACCAGATGTGTCGTTTCTCAAAACGAAAAAAGAAAAAAAAATTATAGGTGAAAATGTCATAAAACTCTTCCGTTTTTTTTTTTTTTATATTCATTCTCTTTCTTACCCTGTAATCTCTATAATTATAATTTAAAAAAAACTGAAATTCAACCATTTCATTATATATATATATATATAAATCTGACTAAAATAAATAAAAAAATGGCCACAAATTCTTTTTGAAACACAATATATTTTAAAAGTTAACACCAGTGTTATTTTAGTATCACCAATATATTTTTATTAATATTTTGAATCAGTTTTTATTTTTATATTTTCCATTTTAATTTCAATTTCAGTTAAAAGTTTTAGTCATTTTGTTGTGTTTTGTCATTTTTAGTAGTTTTTATTTTTAATGTCTATATAGTTTTTATTCATTTTATTTCAGTTTTAGTTTGTTATGGCAAGTTTTTTAATACTTTATTTTATTCCAGTAATGTTTATTTTATTTCAAATATCAAATATGTTTTGTTTTTTTGTGGTTTTAGTTTTATTTAACAGTAATAAACCTGGTTAACACACTAACTTGGGCAGTCCCAAAATAACATGACTAAAATCAAAATAATATAATTTAAAAAATAAACTGAAACTATAAGCACTGAAAATATAAAGGAAAACTAAACTAAATGACAAACTGTTGCTTCAAGAGAAATATATATATATATATATATATATAAAACTCAAAACTATAATAAATGTGACTGAGATAATGTACAAATAATTAGAAAATATTTTAAAAAATTAGAAAATGTTCACAGTTTTTATTCTTTAGTATTGAATGTCTTATCACAGAAGCAGTTAAACTGAGTAACTTATTATGTCTGTAGGTGGGTTAGTAGTCACAGTATAGTAGTGTCAGTGAGCATTTGAACAGTTTCCAAGTCCTAAATGTGTATGTGCACTCACACTAGGCTGGAAGGCGAGAGACGACAGGTTATTTCTGGGTGTCAGCTGCCAGATGTTTTTCAGGCTGAATCCCACAGCCATGATGAAGCGCTCTGTCGTTGGACTGAAGGCCCGAAACGTGCTGTCTAAGATTCTCACTGGACCATCATTTATCTGAAAACCTCGGATTGGAAATGTCCTGACAAGAACAGAGCAAAAGGCAAACAATATTCCAGTCAAACAACGAATTTGCTAAACCAGACAAAAGTTAATGTTAATACTAATCTTCCCTGAGTTCCCTCACATACTTGTTTCTTGGTAGAGTCCTCATCTTTCCATCTACTCCACCGATCCCCCAGTATTTATTTTGTCCTCCATTGGTGCCACAATTTCTGCTTTCACCAACAAACAGAGACTGGGAGACCTCCTGACTAGAGCCCTCATCTTTAGGGTAGCTGCCATCACTGCAGTGAAGAGGAGGGGGAGGAGGAGGAGGGGAGTGAAACATTTTAGTTGTTTCATTAACTGCCTGCCTTAGGAGGTTGATGTAGAACACTAGAGCACACATTTGCCAATCAGGGGTGCGTTTCCCAAAAGCAACTATGGTCGCAAGTTCTGTCGTTACCAATAGAGTTCAATGGAACGAACCACCATAGTTAGCTAACGATGCTTTTGGGAAACGCACCCCAGACTGTGAGTGTTTTAGCTTTAAAAAAAGTGTTCCTTTAAATGACTATGCCTGCAGCCAGGGACAGAGACAGCAAGAACATTCCTGCATATACACAAACACTCACATAAACAGTGGTCGACCGATTATCGTCGCCGATATTAAGCATTTTTATGATTATCGGTATCGGTCATTTTCAAAATCGATTCGCCGATAAAATAACTTAATTGTGAAACGCGCTATTTGGCTCGGATCCAGCATGTTCTGCGTGTCTCTGTGTATGTAAATGGCACAAACCAGCGGTTTTGTTTTCTACACATAGTGTGCGACGCTCGCGGTGATTTCAGCTTCTGTCGTCTCACTACATGAGGACATAAATACATGAACAACATCTCGAGGTATAACCATAACCGGCGTTTGATGCACTGGTCTTTAGTTGTACAAGGTTATAACTTGCTGATTAAGCATAAAAAGGGATCAGAGAATATCATTGCTGATGCTTTATCTAGAGCTTGGTCAGTGGCTTGAGAACTTGTTAACACTTATATAATGTGTGAATTATATAGTTTTTACATATATATAGTGTTACATTCCTCGTATGTTTTGTATTTTTTTTTGCTCCCTGTTTTCTTTTCTCCTTTTCCTCTTTTGTTGTTTCTGTTCTAAATTCTTAGGTTTTGTTTATTGGCTGCTCGGTTCATCAGTTGATCAATCAGGATGGACCTACCCGTTTAAAAGGCGGCCGGGTTTCGTGTGCTGCTGTCAGCCTTCCCGCTTTCCAGCCAGCGGGCGACTGTCCATTTTTGCCAGCCGCGCTCATTTTTTTCTTTGACTGTTTGAGTTGTGTTTATTCGTTATTTTGAATTGTTCAGTTGACTGACTTACTTGTTAGTTTATTGAGACTTTCTGGTCCTGTGGTTAGGTTTACTAAACCTGTGTCATTGTTCGCTAGAACTTAGAAACACCTGTTGCTGAATGATTAGTGCTTTAGTTGCTGGTTTGACATATGGTGCTAAGTTACCCCTGTGATCAGTTAACCTAGACCAATGTGTTTTTGTTAAGTGAGTCCTGTTAGAATGATTTCGGGAAAAGGAGGTAGGTAAGTTTTTGCATTTAGATGTTTTTGCATTTGTCAGTTCTAGTTAGGGAGTGACTGACACCTATGTATTTTTGCTATTAATCAGGGTAGTTTATGTTGGGCGTCGGATACGCTGAAGTTTGCGGTTTTATTTCTACATTTTCTGTTTGATAGTTAGATTAGTTGGGTTGAGGTTCAGTTATCGGGGTTGTTTTGCTTTTGATTATTTCTTTGTTTTGGCATTACTCAGTTTTCTCCTTTTTCCCATAATTTATCCTATAAGTTATTTATTTTTAGTGATTGCTAATCTGCACCTCTCAAATATAAATCGAGTTCGTATTGAACGTGATTGCCTGTTTCCTGGTCATTTCCTTTCATGGTTTGCCCCAGTGCCAGTTGTGTCTCACTTAAATGTTACGAAACATCCCCACAAATATTAAACACGTAACATTACGAGCTAGCCAACATAAACGAGCGGATAAAAGAGGATAAAAGATTTATCCTCTATTTAAGAGGATAAATAGAGAACTATTGTATAGGGAAATGTATGTGTGAGCACCCGCCACACAAGCACATCGTGCCGGACCTTTGAACAATGAGGCATTTCAGAGAATGAACGAAGATGCCTTGTGTACGTGCAATAAAAATTTGAACTCATAATTGATTGCATGAGTCTTTCCTGAAGCCACACTTTATAAAATGTTGCAAATCCCAAATGACTTATGAACTGCACTATTATGAGCCAAAGGCTGGAAATGCTAACTGCACCACAGGAAGCTGGGTATTAAATGAAGATGGAGAAATAGCAACAGCACTGATATTGTGTGATGAACATTACCTGAAGATAAATTTAAAAAAAGACTCCGAATGCGTCTACAAATCATAAAGTCTAATTATCCTAAATCATTGTTATTATTTGAAGGATTGTTTTGCCCACTGACTTGTGAATTTGGCATTAGAATCATAGATGAGGCATTTGATTACCTTAAAGTTGGAATGAACACGGTTGTTATAGAAGATGCCCAGAGGCGTGAGCTCAGCTTTAGTCTCTGGAATCAGTCCATGAGAATCACCTGTAGAGGAATTGTGGAAAACATACCAAATTCCTGCATCCTGAGAGAAAAAAAAAGAGAAAATTAATATACCAGGTATTTTCATAAATATTTTCATATCCTTAACATTTTCTGAAGGTTAAACAACTCCTTCTACTGACAATTTGCTTACAAATGCCCTATTTTGTACTAGTGGAAAGAGCGGGTGAATAATATTTACTCCTGAGTCCTGATTTCTATCACAGGAAGATGACTGAGACTCTCTTAACCTGGTCTGCTGAAAGCATGACTTCATAGGAAGCTTTTCTTTTAATAAAAAAGGGTGGAGGGTGCATCCTTTTATATACAAAACCCTCAAGCAAAACAAAGCGCAACAATACCACCAGCCTGAACAGATTTCTTTTGGCAAATACATTTTTAATTAAAGAATTGGAATGTGGAGATGCTATCTGTGATTGCACAAGCGCCTTGATGTTCTCATCAGTATCACAGAGCTGTGGGCATCATTTCAAAGAGCACAAATTCAATCAGAGAAAGTCACAGAATAGTCGTTCTATGATAAATAAATACCGTGAAAATGTTGCAAACAAACACTGACTCACTTTTCATTGCAGATCATAGTGAAAATTATTCATTTGGTCAAATCAAGGATTGTGCATATACCTGTGATCCAGCTGCTGAGTTACTGATCAAATGATTATTGGGGTGTGCGATCCAAAATGTAGACACTGCCCTAGAATACACACATTAGACAGGGTCTTGTAAATGTGTGATCTTAAAATACATTGATTGAAGCATTTGTTTATTATGTTTAAAACAAAATAATACATTTTAGTCTTAGCTTTTAGATATAGTTTATTATATTATAATAATAAAAATGAAATAAACAAAAACTAAATTATAAAAACATTATAATAAAACTAACAAAGATCAAGCAAAACCTTAAAAATAATAATAATGAATAAATAATTAATAAGCAAATAAATCTTTGGCAGCACTAAAATACTAAAACAACAATAAAAATGAAATAAACAAAAACTAAATTATAATAAAACTAACAAAGATCAAGTAAAACCTTAAAAGTAATAATAATAAATAATTAATAAACAAATACATTTAAAACACCTGATAAAAATAATAACCTGAATAAAAAAAAAACTACAATAACCCTGGCACAAAAGTCCAACTGTTTACAAACTGTTCCAAACTGACCCCAGCATTACCTCACTGTTTGATCAGAACTACAACTCTGAAACATATTCCAACATCCACCTTCATCCTGAACATCTACAGCTCTATACACAAACACACACATGCTCCTAAAACAGTTTTTATCCTTTTTAAAACAGCACCTTCTCAGCTATCCTCTGCCAGGGACATTGGGTGTTTTATTGCCCAGATAAGAGAAAAAGACTATTGCTGAGTCTCGGGAAATGAGAGCTCTGTTCTTTCTCCTGTTATTTGACCAAAAAATACAACAGGTCACACTGTCAAGGTCAGTTACCCAGAGCAGAACAAGCACTCTTTACATCAAGAGACTTTAAGATAACATTCACACACATGCTCAATTTCAAGCTGAGAGGCTTCAAGAAGTGTGAATATTGGCTTCATTGCAAGTTACAGGTCTATGAAGCAATATTCAATAAATATGTGTGAGTTTATGGTATCTTACTTGCACTCGTTTGCAGGAGATGGTACATATCCTTTGTGTGCCCTGTCTGTAATTTCTGTGCACATGCTATCATTGCGGTCGGTAGGTAGAATGGTTCCTGGCCTGGTCAACAAGCCTAGGTTATGGAAAAATACGTTCCTTTGTTCAATCCCGTCCTCCAGGAAAAAACAATGTCCCAGTGTATCATAGCCAACTGTGTCCCTAACCTATAATAAAAGGAAGATATCATGATGAATCAAAACGAGAAGATCAATGAAAACAAATACATTATTGTTAGGACATATATATTTCTCTCACCAGCAGGCCATTAGTGGCATGTATGCCAACACATCGGGAGAAGGAGTGATGGATGGAGAGGGAGTCCAGATAGGTGTGGTCACTGTATCCCCCGCGCTGGTCCACATCTCCACACCTATGAAAGTTCACAGGGGATCTGCCCTTCTCCCGCTGCTGACCCATGTGTTTCAGCTCCACCTGAGACAAGTGGACTGACGAGAAGTTCCCCAAAATCTGAACAAGATAAAAAAACAAGAAATCAAAAACACAAGACCAAGTGTTGGCCAACAAATATCTATCTATCTATAAAAAAAAAATGTAAAAAAGAGTCGTTGTATAAGTGCTACTGTGTGTTGTGGCTTTTCATTCTGCTGCCAAAAATAACACACAAATTTAAGATTATGCTTTCAGTTCCTTCCATTCAAAAAAGAGCTATACTCCATTATCTTGTGCAAACCCCAACATACAACAGCCTGTTATTTCTCCACATGACAGCACCAGACAGCTTAGTGTTACATAAACACACAACCGCACACACATATACACACACACAGACCCTCAAACAGACCTTGATGTGTCCCCCGAAGGTGTCGTAGCTGAAGTACTGGCACTGATTTTTTCCGTAGCAGGAGTTTTCCATTTCTCCATGAATGAGGATATTCCTTGAGAGGAGGGCCACCTCCGCACGCATGTCCACACCGTCCAGTATCTCTCCCACGTGGGTGAACTGAGGCTTTCCTGAGAAATTCCGACACATAAACACACTCCATAAAACTCACTGACTAATGATAGAGTTTGAAAATATGACGAGAGATTTATCTTAAATAATGAACCCAAATTGTAAAATTAAAAATACAATAAAAACTAAAAAAATAACATTTCTCTGTTTAAATATTTGTATAATTTAATTAAATGAATTAAGAAGAATTAATAAGACGAATTAGGGAGAAGTGGAATGAATGAGTGGATTAGCTTTTAAAAAAAAAGTTTCATAAATAAATAATGGATCCAGGACATTCATTCGGACTGCCCTTTACGCACACCCAGAGTACACACAGTATCCTTCCAGACAGAAAAGGGCTGGCAAAAGCTTTGCCAACAGGACACATTGCACAAGGTGATATTTAAACTACATCCTGTTAATAGAGGCCACATATTGAAGACATTTCCATTCTCCAACCAATTAACATATGTGCTGGGAATAATGACCATATTGTAATACATGCACAATACAACCCAGAACCTATTTGGATACTTAATAATTATGAATGTTTTAGCATTATACAACAATATCAACTCAAGTGATATTTATTTTAAAGATATAAAATACCATTCAAATGTTTGGGGTCAGTAAGATTTTTTTATTTATTTATTTAATTTTATTCAGAAAGGATGCATTAAATTGATCATGAGTGACAGTAAAGCCATTTAAATGTTACAAAAGTTTTCTATTATTAAAAATCCTGGGAAAAAAAAAAATAAAAAATCACAGTTTCCACAAAAATATTAAGCAGCAGAACTTATTTTCAATGTTAAAATAATACAAAAAGTTTCCTGAAAACCAAATCAGCATATTACAATGATTTCTGAAAGATCATTTGACACTGAAAACTGGAGCAATGGCTGCTGGAAATTCAGCCACGCAAGAATAAATAAGATTTTAAAACACATTAAAATTACATTTCGATTACATTGAAAAAAAGAAGAGTCCACTATGTGGTACTGCACATATGCTGCGCAGACACAGCTGTGCAAGAGATGGAGCAGAATGTGAGAAATCAAGTATATTTCTTTCTATCTAACGAAAAAACATTCAGACATTTGTATGACATAAGTATCCAAATTTCTATACTCAATAAAGACCAGCTGGGACATTAGCACTAGAAAGCAATTAGTGAAAATGTTTTTAACAGGGTGGAGCACATGATGGTGGAATTATCTATATAGCCACTGCTGGCTTCTGGTCAGAAATGGAATTCTGGTGAACAGTCCTCGCCCTTTTGCTGTCTCAAACTCAATGACACTGTCATCACTTGAACTCGGCTGTATCCAAATTCACAGCAAGATTCAGGACAGATACACTTTACATTATCACCACAAGAAACCGGAAGAAAAACATGCAGTTTAGCGCAAACACACCACCACCTCACCTTGAATTCGAACCTGTTTCCTGTTGCAGTGGGGACACGGGAGCAGGGTGAATTCCTCTGCCTGATGCATGGAGTAATCGGTGCTGGCCACCACAATCCGATCGCCCGGATTCCAGCTGCTAACATCATCCATCAGGTTCAGAACCACTTTATCCACTGCATCCACCTGGAAGCCTGTTGTAGGGTAACCTTTATGGTAGAACAAAAACCAATGTAGGTTTTAAAAGGGATTTCTTTTAATACATTCTTGATCAATATTGTAGATTTTACCCTATGCTGTCCAAAACGTACCATTTTTCCACTCGCTGTAAGCAGTAACAGTGAAACCAACACCATCCACAGTGATGAACTCTCGGCGAGCCAGCGCCTTGCCACCGGTGTCATGGTTCTCATGTTCTCGTACGTCTTCCGAGCAAGAAGCATTGCCTCCACCAATTACCGAGACCAAGGCCCATGCCTGCCTAAAACAGAGATGAGAAAGAGCTATTAAGAAAGCCAGCAATGGACAAAAACATGCAAGAAGATGTGACAGATTTGGAGGAATGGTGTATTCATAGAATATAAACTGGCTCAAATCAATCAGTTCGACGACAATAAAATATAAATTACAAATTAGGATGAATGGCTTCTTCATTAAGACTTGTCAGTGCACTCCCATGTGAAAGTGACGACCAGTTATTGAACATAAATTGAATGTAATGGAAGAGAAGCCAAAACTCTTGAGTTAAAAAGCCAAACACTGTCAAGGATGAATGAGATTGACTAATTGAATCCTTCCTTCCTATTATTTATCTAGTCAGCCCATTAGTACAGTAAAAAGAGCAGTTGTCACTCAACTGAAGGCAATTGAATTTGTCTGTCATCAGTCTATGATGAGAATATAAACCAAAATGTGGAATTGTTTGAGGAAAGTCATTGCTTTCTGAAAAGAGTGAATATTCACAATGTTAAAGGGTTTGAAAAATTTTCATTTACTCATCCTCAATTTCATTACTGTATGGTTAAATTTAAAGAGATAGTTCACCCAAAACTGAAAATTCTGTCATCATTTACTCCCTCATGTCGTTCCAAACCAATATGACTTTATTTCTTCTGCAAAGCACTACAGAATGTATTCTGAGAAATGTCTTGGTGTTTTTTGTTTGTTTGTTTGTTAGTTTTTTTTGTCCATACAAAGGAACAATCTTCAAAATATTTTATTTTATGTTCCACAGAAAGAAAAAACAAACAAAATCATACAGATTTGAAATGACATGAGAATGATTATAAAACGGATAGTTTTATATATATAGACCGGGCCTTGATTCTGATTGGTTGAGCAGCGTTCGAAGCTGTTGTAAATTACTCTACAAACATACACCTTTGTTTACTTTGTGTGTTGCTTGGCAACAGGGCTGACTGGGACGCAATTTCAGGCTGGGAAATCTCACACTCATCCAGTGGTTTACAGTGAATTTATAACAGCTAAGGGGGTTTTAGGTACTCCGCTTCGCGTCGTGCCTAACAACACCCCCTTAGCTGTTATAAATTCACTGTAAACCACGGCTTCTTGGGGCTTATTGCTTTAATAAGATTTTTCATTTTTGGGTGAACCATCTTTAAATTTCAGTCTGTTCCTCACACAAAGCTGTTGTATTTCACTAATATCCATTAGTATAATATGCATTTGGACCACGTTAATGATGCCTTTTATAATTTCTGGGGCTTAACAACCCCTGGTCACTATACACTTCAATTGTATGGAGAACAGCAGTGTGAACCTTCTGCTAAACATCGCTTTTTGTGGTCTCCAGAAAAAAAGAAAGACATTTGGGTTTGGAATGACATGAGAGAGTGATAAATAATGAAAGAATACGTTGAACCATCCCTTTAAAAATGATAATAATGAGTGTCTTGACTTTTTACATCATTAATTCATAAAATATTACCCAGTGTAAATATAACCAATCCTACTTCCTCTCTCCCTATAAGGCATCATTCAGTTTTGGCAAGGATGGAACTAAAAAGAGTGGAAAAAAGGGGGTAAAAAAAACCAACAAAAAAGAACAAAACTATGGCTCAACAGACTCTGGAGCTACTGGTGTCAGCTTCTGCGGTAGCATTAATACTTCAACTATGATGAAACTGCAGGTACTTCACAACAACTAGGTCAGAACTGCTATTTGTTATACTGACGCATATGAGCTCCAAAGGCCAAGCCTCAAACACGAAACCCTCTAGAGGTTTGGAAAATAGTGTCTCATTGAACTTTCTCCCATTAAGGAGTGTGGTTCACTGCAGTTTACAACAAGTTTATAAAATCTTTGTGGATAAACAGAGTGACTAACTACCCACTTTGAGACCAATAAGGCCAATTTAGCTGCTATGAGGTGGGAGGTCTATGATGGCCAGAAACCACACTTGTATTATCATTTTATCTTTCATATTTTCATCTTTTAGCAGCCACCAAGGAAAGATTACCTAATTTCTCAGAATACACAGGAATCTTTCCTGTCTTTTTCCATCTTGTTCCTGGCTATTCCCTACCCTCAAAGGGGAGAAGAACATCTAATATCATTAAAGAGTGAATCGTCCCAATATTTCCTGCACTTTTAACACCTTCCACATTTACATATTCAGTATTTTGGTGTGGCACTAAAACTTAAAGTCTTTGTTTAACAATCATGAAATGCTGTTTCAAAACAGCAGGCTGCAATCATTTTTATAATTCCATGATGTTAAAACCTGCATGAAAGTTGTGGAAATAAACCACTTTCCACAATAGCACAACAAACTCTTTCTTCAACACAGATACAGATACACCAGGGATCTTATCAGTGACTCGGGGACAAAGGCCTTTTGTCATTTAGCTCTTTTGATGCTCCAAAATATGATGATCACCTTGCAAAAGGACTCCTTTTTGCAAAATAAAATCATACTAAAGAAATTGTAAAAATCTAATATAAAAAGGCCAATTTATACAGTGTGAGTCAACATCTTATAAAGGCAACATCTTGTTAAATTAAAAACTTGCTAAATTAAGTCATGGGCTTATTTGTACTATAACCAAAATAAATTATTGAAATGTTAATCACAAACATATTTACTTTGTATTTAATTAACAGTTAATCTTTTTCTACCCACTATTAGAATACATTTAGAACTTTATATTACTTTCTATTATATAAAGTTTGTATTTTGACCCTCTTGCAACCCCTGGAGGTCCCCATGCCCCTCATGTAACACATGCTTTGTATCCAAACATACACCTCTTTCTACAGGGACAATCCTCCCTGAGCAACCAGGAGTTCTCTCTTAACAACACAAACAAACTTCACAATAATCAACATTCTTTCATACCTCAACTTCTAGCAACTTGCCTCCTAGTCAGTCTGACATTGGCAAAGCACATATGTTAGATTTATCACTAGCCGATAACAGGCTTATAACTTTATTTCTATCAAAAACATGTGAGCTCCAACGCACCCCTCAGGAGTGCCTAAAGTCAGTAGACAGCAGACAGATAATATTTCTTCGTATGATACACTACTCTTTGCCTTACAGTTCTAGTTATGTAACAGAGAGAACACAGAAATCTTCTGAGTTTTCATGCCCAAGACCTTTGACTAAACTAATGTGTCTAGAGACACAGTCTGCAGTTTGAACATTAGAGTAAGCATGCATATTTTCCATATTTCTTTAAGTAGTAAGAGAATGTTACAAACAAGTGCCTTTGCAATTAACTGTAAAAGTAGGCTTTATGTCTGGAGGAATTTCTATATTTGACACCAAACTCTTTAGAAAATATTTTCAGCTGCACGGTAATAAACTTCATCCCTCACTGAAAATCCATACTTTCCATCTGCAATGTAAATAAAAGAGACTCAGCATCTGGTTCTTCTGGCTTTGAGCTCTTGAAAAATTCTCGCAATGAGATATTATAGACAGATACACACATCAGCACTTTTCAAACAAATCCTGGAAATATGCCTGTTTAACCTTTCACCGGCTTTTCCTGCAGAATACTGCCATTTGATACACTGGGAGGCTTCTTTTGATGTGTTTCTGTGTAACAACCAAACAGGTCTCCCAATCTGAACAGCTGAAAATTGGCCAAAACCTCTCTAAAACTAGCCAACATACTAGTAAGCCAGCTTTGGCTGGTTTAAGATTATTTTTTCAGTAGTGATGCTTTCAAAATGCCTTCCTTATTCACCTGTATTTGAGATTATTGACATGATTGCTGCCTAGAAGATCCTTGATGGTTTTCTTGGTCTCTTCCAGCAGGCTCTTAACCGCAGAATCACCGGTGGCCAGTGCAACAATGCGTCCTGCAGGTAGAGACTCCAGCAGCTGACTCAGCCTCTTACTGTCGTTATAGGAATCGTGTGTGTCAAAACGCTCGTTGCTCACCACCTCCGCCGTGTCCTGATCAACCACCCGCAGGTTAATTCCACGGCTGAAGTTCTTCTGGAAGCCATGGTCACCGGTAGCCAAACCTGAAGCAGGTACGGTGCGAGTGAGGAAGGTCCAGGACAGCCTCTCTGACCCGTGGAGCTCCAGAGTTCCTCCGGCATTCACACCCAAAAACTTGCGGCCCATGCCAGGAACCTCAGTCACGGCGGTTTCATCCGATCGGCCGACCAGGGTGATGGTAGCCAGGGAGCGATAGCGGCATTTTGTAGCCCCAATATGGAGAGCACCGCCATCTTCTATCAAAATGTGGCGCGTTCGTAATGTAATGTTTTTTGAGCCTTTTTTATCATCGGCAAAGACAACCAAACCTATAATAAAATGAATGAAATCAGCACAAAGAGGAGATTTAAAGGGATAGTTCACCCAAAAATTAACATTTTGTCATTAATTACTCACCCTCATGTCGTTCCAAACCCATAAGACCTCCGTTCATCTTCGGTACACAAATTAAGATATTTTTGAAGGAATCTGAGAGCTCTCTGACCCTCCCATAGACAGCAAGGGTCCTTACACGATCAAATGTAAATTGCGTATGCTGTTTTGTGTTAGCTGCGCCACGCGGATACATTGTTTTCGTTCAAATCAAAGCGTAAATGATGTAAACAGCGTATCCGCATGGCACAGCTGACACAAAACAGCATACGCAATTTACGTTCAGTGGATACTCTCCAAAATGGCGCTAGGGTGATGCGGAGGAGACGAATTGTTGAATAAAGTCGTTTTTTG